TTACTAGGGCACCCCCTGGAGTAACTAAGCTCAATGACCACAAATTGTTGGAGAGCAGATTTATGTTGGATATTAGAAAGAACTTCTTCACAGTAAGGGTTGCCAGAATCTGGAATGGGCTTTTAAGGGAGGTGGTGCTCTCTCCTACCCTGGAGGTCTTCAAGAGGAGGCTGGACAAGCACCTCGCTGGGGTCCTCTGACCCCAGCGCTCTTTCCTGCCCAGGGCAGGGGGTTGGACTCAATGACCTACTGAGATCCCTTCCAACCCTAACATCTATGACTCTATGAATTAGAACATGGTCCTGGCTGAGTATTTGTCTCCTAAAGCAGTGGTTATCAACCTTTTGTGTACCACGACCCCTTTGTAAATATCAATGGCCAGTCCTGACCCAGTGCCCCTTAGTCCTGACCCACTGCCCCCAGGCCCCAGCCACCCAGTGCATGGGGCAGGGGGTGGGGTGTGGGGCAGGGAGGCCCCAAGCAGCCCCTCTCAGGCTGAAACTCTGCCAGCCTGCAAGGGAAAAGCCACCATTTCCCACATTTTTCTCCTTTAAAGGAGTATTGATTTTTAAAATGTGTTGATCCATTTTTAAAGTTTGCTTGCAACCCTGTCATATATTCCTGTGACCACTGTTGGATCACAACCCATCGGTTGAGAAATGCTGTCCTAAAGAAAGCAGAGGGTGTATCAGGGCTCAGTGGCTCATGGAAGAGCTCCTTTCTCACCGCCCTTCACAATACTCAGACAGCAGGGGGAGGATAGGAAGCGGGGTGACATTCTCCTGGGGACCAGCATTGCAAAAGGCATGTAGGACTTCAGCTCAGCCTGAGCAGCTGGGCAGGAAGAGTTGCCCAAAGTAGTGCTAGTGCATAAACTGCTGTATACTGGACTCTGTGTCCCAAGATGTAATGGGAGACAGTGCAGAGAGTGTTACAGGCATGTATGAGGTACTTTCAGCTGAAGCATCTGGCTGGGGACTTCAGAAGGGCTCTTTCATGGGGTTTCACAGCCATAATTTCATCATGGCACCTCGCCTCTCAGCACCCACAGCTTTGAGTGGGGGCCCCATGTAATCTTCTCCAGAGAGGTAGCATCCTCAAGACAACATCTTCAAGACAAGCTTCTTGGCTCCTCACAGGACGGCAGAGACGTGCCTTGTCCATTGAGACAGATGGGAAATGGTTCTGAGTCAGCCATGCCCTGGGCACCAGGGTGTTCAAGATCCTAACTTGGCTTCAGCTCAGAGCCTCAGGCAAGAGGAAGCAAGCAGAAATGACAGATAGATGAGGGACCAGGAGGTAAGTCAGGATGATGGGAAGTGGGCACGGCACAATCTCTACCTAACCATTAGCGAGTTACCTGTAGGAGTCAGTGTATGGGATGAACTAAAAGGAGGCCTGAGTGCTGCTAGAAGGACTGAGGAGCATGGGGTTCGGAGCAGAGCTGTGGGAGGAGGCTGCAGGGTCCAGCAGTGCTGGGGCCGGTAAAGGTAAATGCCTGAGGGCACCTTTCTGTTCAAAGTCCTGGAAGGTGAGGATGGGGAATGTGTAGGATTGGTGCTTGGTGTTGGCAAGGAGAAATGTCCAGCTGAGACCAGCTTAGTCTGGGTTTGGGCAGGGAAATTCGCAGCTGAAACTCAGCCTGGCTTTGCCCAGGACACAGTGCATGGGCGACTGGTGCCTCCTGAGTCGGGGGGGCTGCTGAGGGGGCTGCCCCCCCCAGTGGCCAGTCAGCGACTGCAGGGGGTCCCCCCGTGGCTAATCTCACTGACGGGGGGGAGGGTGGGGGGTGGTGGTCCTCCCATGGCTGATTGCACCAACCCAGAAGAGTGAGCGGGGCACCAGGAAGTGCTAGTGGAGCTTCTCCTGGCACCCCACTCCTCAGCCAGCGCTTGCACGGGGGGGACCGGTGCTCTCGCCTGTCCCACCTGCCTGTCACCAAAGCGGGGAGTGTTGGCTGTAAGGGGGTGCACCAGCACCCTCAGGGGGTGCACGTGCACCTTGTGTACCCCCTATGCCACCACTGACACAGTGATTGTGAAACTGTCTCCATAGAAATCCTTCAGGTCTGCCCAGGGGAGGAGATTCCAGCTCATTAGAACTTCTTAGAGGTGATTCCATAGTTGCATGTATTTCCGCCACCTCAGTGAGGCTGGCTCCTTTGAGCAGCTACTTCTTACTGTGGGCATAGCTGGAGGAATGCCCAGGATGTATTCACAGTGCCATGCCCGGACCCTCCATAAAAACCCATCTCTTGCTGAGGACATGTGAGTGGAGGCCAATGCAGCATCTTCAGAACACTTCTGCTCTGATGGATTCAGTAGAAACACTGCGGCTTTGCTGGAGAAAGATCCTCTGCAGAGTCTGTTGCCAGGCAGAGATCTTTAGGTGTTTTGAGGAGCCTGTGATATCTTGATTAAGCCAGACCCCAAACCAGAATGGCAGTGATGACATGAGGCATTTGTCGAGTGGCTGCTAGGAGTTATTGTCATAAAACCACAGGCTGGGCAAGGAAAGGATCAGGGCTCATTAAAAAATGGCTGGAACCAAACCGAAAAACCCAAACCATGAAGCTGAGCTTCCAGGAAGCCTGGGCCAAAATATGGAAACCACAAGGAGCTTGAAGAGAGCTGCTGGTTTCTTCCTGGTTTTGGCTTAGTTTCCCTCAGAGCATTTGGACTGCAGCATTGACCAGGTTTCACAGGAAGAGGGATCTTTACTGAAACAAAAATTCCTGTTGCAAAACTTTCAAGGATTTGGTTGAAAATTGGTCCTGTTTCCTGCTCTAATTCTGGTCTTGATTTGAAAGGCAAAAAACAAACACCTTTCCTTCGGGTCATTTTGTTGGGAGCTTTGCGAAGTGGAAGTATGCTGGTAACACTCTGTAATGACAAGCAGGGTGGAAGAAAAAAAATTCAGCTTTTGTTGGGGAATATTTTGCAAAGTCCCAAGACTTAAGGAAGGAAGGAAAGGGAACGCAAGCGAGCAAAAGCATGTATGTACATGTGTGGGAGACGCTGTATAAGCAGCTGAGTCCTTAGTGCTGTCATTTGAAGAGCCAGAGCACTGGAATCTTCATATTCCCTTTGTGCTTATAAATGTTTGCATGAAACCATTGTAATAAATACAACGAATTAACGTACTGCTTGCTCACAGGTTGCGTAAGAAAAATCAGAATCCCAGAGGCTGGGATCTTACAGGCCATGAGCAGAGGATTGAAACTCGCAGAAGTAATTAAATTTTGTTTAATCAAAACAGCTTTACAATGACTACCAAAGCTGTGAGAGAGACTTTCCTATTTATTTATAACTCCCGGCTGATACATGAGGACTGGGGGTGGAAGCTGACTAGCTGGAGCCCCCCAGTGGTCAAAACTAGCACTACATGCCCATCTCTAACCTCAGCTCCAGCAGCAAAACTTTCCAACAGTGCTAACTGGCCCCTTTGTAAGCACCGTCAGCAGTAAGGACAAGGGTGCAATAGGCAATTGTTATTTTTGTGTATACGTTTCTCTATCACCAGAGTTGGTTTAACAAAAGATATCACATTTACCCAAATAACCTTGTCTGTCTACCATCAGAAAACACTCTATAAAAAGGCCAAGTTGGGATGTACTTTAGGGAGGAGCAGGGGGCAATGGAGCTGTCAGAAGAAGCTTAGTTAACTTATTCCCTGTGAGTAGCATTCACCCCTGTGGGGAGAAACACCCCAAGACCTAGACAGAAGTGAAGACTCACTTTCAGGGGAGGGGAGAGTGTGGGTAAGACAAGGGTTTGGTGGTAGAGGGGTGTGATAGGAAAGATGTCCAGCACATATGAAAAGGTAGCTCAGTGGTCAGAAGAAATTCAACTGCCCGCTGTGCTATAGACTGCATGTATGAGACTGGACAAGTCACTTAGTCTCTATGCTTTCGTTTCCCCATTTGGACAATGAACCATCGTGAGGATAAATGTACTTAGCAAGGTGCGTTTGTGAGGTGCTCAGAGATTTAGTGATCAGGATATTATAAGTAACTACACTGAGAAGCCAGGACAAGAGCAAAGTAAGGTACTGCTCTTACAATCTCCATACAATGATCTGAGAGCCTGGAAGAACTAAGCAAGACCTGAGACCAGCCCTTGGGCAGAGCCTGTTACTAAAATGGAAACAAAATGTCTTGAGTTTGTAATGGAAACAAGCACAGGAGTTCAGAATCTTTCTTGCTTGACCACTAATGCTCCAGTCCCATTTTATACTCCTTTGCATGTGATTTACTAGCTGTGTAACAATAATTCAGCTATAGGACTTCTCTTCCTTTGTTGGGGATGAACCTCCCTGGTGCTGGATGCTGTATAAAGAGAGAGAGAACGTCCAGCCTGAAGAAATCCTTCTGTCCCAAATGCTGCCCATCGTCAGAAGAGCCAAAGAACAAAGAGTTACAAAGGTCCTGGGGTTGTGCAACCTCTGACTCCTACCATAAACATAACTGGAAATGCTGACAAAACACAGCAGCTAGTGGACAAGGAGAGACCAACGAATGACACACCAAATATGATTTCACAGGTCCAAACTAACTTGTTTAATTTTTTGTCTAATAGCTTTATGCACAGAGAAGTGGAGACAGCCTAGTTCTTTCTTCTGCAGATGCCTTTTATCTGAAATTCAGGAAGTGAACCCAGGTGTCCTGAGTCCTAGTCCCATGCCTAACCCAGGAAAGTGTCTATCTTATCCAGTGGATTCATCTTTTTCTTTAAGGGAGACAGTAGGTGTGAAACATCCCCCCTCAACCTAATGAAGGGGCAGATCTGGGGAAAGGCCATTCTTTTACTTGGGGGTGCATACTTTTTCTTCAATTCTATAAAAGGATCCTTGTGTAAGTGTGCAGAATCTGTCAACATAACAGACAAGGCATTTTCAGGCACCCAACAATGCTGTGGGCATCTGCTTCTGGCTTGCAGTCAGTTAAACACATGGAAACAAAGAACATGTCAATAATCACACACCCGAGGCTGAGAAAATCTTTTAAACATTTATTTTGTTCTTCCTAGGATACTTTTTTTAGATGTACACCCCCCCCGATGTAGTGGGTAGTTTATACTACACTACTACACATAGTAACATAGTTGAGTTGTTAATGGCCTTGCTATAGTTTTTGTGATGAATTAAGTGATTCACCCATGGACGACTGGTACCTCTTGAGTCTGCGGGGGGCACCTGCAGAAGCCGGTGGTGGCAGTAGCGGCAGGAACGGGGCTGGCGAGCACCTGCAGAAGCCACCGTCTGCGTCAGCAGCAGGGACGGGGCTGGCAAGCACTGGCAGTGGGGACGGCCTTGCTGGGGGTGGGGCATGTGCCCCCTATCAGTCCCCTATGGATCCACCACTCTAACCTTAAAATACCATTTTATAAGACTTGTTAATACCCTGGGCAAATGAGCTGCGAATAGGATCAGTATATTGGTATGACGGGAGTTTTCAAAAAGGGTGGAAAAAAACTGTGTTTTGAGAACAGACTTCTTCTACTTTAATAGTATAGCAAGACCCAAATCCTCAGCTAATATAAAGCAGAGTACAACTGATTTTCATGGAACTACGCCAATTTACGTCATTCAAGGCAGCCCAGACTTATGCAAGTTCCTTCCAAAGACTGTGTGTGTTATAGTCATGAAAATATCAACAATTATTTCTCAAGCTCATCACAACCTTTATAAATTTAATTAAGTGTAATCCATCTTTGTGAAAATGGCATAAAAATTGACCAGCTTTGGCAAAAACCTGCTTGCTTAACTTTTCTTTCTTAATGCACTAAAAGAGCCATCACGGGACCAAGGTGTTCCCAAAGGGGGTAGTGACTTCAGGTGCCTCTGTGTTCAGCGTACCCACTCTTATTCTCCCCATCTCTATAATATCCAAGATCCTGAGGGCCTTCAATGTATTTGTCTCATAAAACATCTGCAAGATAAGGAAGCATAAAGCCTGATTTTTGGAAGATAGCTGCTCTAATCTCTTTGAAATGTCCCTAGTTGAACATCCCAAAATCGAAGCACTTATAGTTGCTGTTAAAAGTCTTAGCCACAGTATATGACATGTTATTAAGAAAGCAAAATGACGCATCCCAGGTTAGTGAGCAAACAATTCTGCATGGCAAGTCCAACTCCTGTAACATTTACCCATCCCAGGCTAGGCCTGGCATCTTGCTTGCTGCGTTATGTATACCAGGTCCATTTGCCATATAAAAGAAGTTCCCATGTGATTCCTCATCAAAGATCCTGAAATGAGATCTATTTCCATCAGAGGCTTCCAGGAATTGAGCAGTGGGTGTAAAACCTTTAGCAGAAACTCTTGATATCAAAGTACGTAACAAAACAATATAAATAAGAACTATTGCCAGAATGCAACCAGGTAGCAATAAAATGTTAGGAACCAGCTCAGTGGTATCTCTAGATGGCTGCCAGCTTTGGGTTATACAAAGGTCTCTATCTTCTATGACTCTGGTAGGAGTTTGCTGACAAAGTCAATGACAAGAGAAGCTGGCTGAACTGTGTCGTACTCTGCAAACAGGTGACAGACATTCTCAGAATCTGTCTGGCTTTTGGCTACAAAACCAAAGATCCTTTGAAAAGAGACAGAGAGAGACAAGAACTCACAATTAGACTGCATTCGGAAATTAACAAGAAAAACTTAAACAAGCCCCAGGCACAGAGAACACTTCTGACTAACAGTTCCACCTTGGCCCATTCCCCAATCAAGTTCACATGAAAGAAAAACAGTCACGATTAAGCATTTCTGGCAATGACCTTCCTGACTATGAAAAAAAAAGTTTCTCGAACACAAGGAAGAGCCAGATATAAACTCACATCCTGAGTGCTGAGCAAACAAGTCAGCGATGCCGGGAAGATTAGGAGAATTCCACTGGGCACTTTCTATGTTGGTTTATTCACTAGTGAAGCCCTAACATCTGGGATGGCTACAGCACAGGCCTGGCATGGCACCAACAAACTGTCCCAAATTTCTTTTTAATATGACTTTTCCCACCCATTATCAGCTTTTTAAAACCTTAATCTCCTTATTCCCTCTGTTGCCTTTGAAATATGACCTTTCAAATGCCCAATAAAAATATACCACTTTCTTTTTTCCTTGGTTCTTATAGAGCATAGTATGTGTTTCAGGTCTCTTTATAAGGGCCGTACCTTGAAGATTTGCAGTATTTTTGCCACCTGAAAAAAAAATTAAGTGAATAAGATCACAATGGAAAAGATGTTTAACTTATCTCTATGCTTTGAATATACTCATACATTTATATTTAGTGAAAAAAATGCTACTTTTAGTGTAGAGGAGGAATGACCTTTTTTTTTTAGCATATTTGGAATTTTGACTGATTCCATCTAATTTTAACATTCATTTCAATGCCAACTCCTTTGTTCCATTCAAGCCAGTCTGCCACTCTGTAGTGTTGGACACTCTGCACTTATTGTCCAGCTCCAGGAAACAAGAACACTACCACGCTATAGGCACTTTCTCACTTAATTGTGCCAATTCACAGAGCAGTTACTTGAAACTTACTTTCTGTTGTCAAGGTCCATGCTGCAGAAGCTGATGATAGCAAGTGGGTAGTGTCGCCTGAAGAATACCCTGAAGGCAAGGAAAAGGAAGAAGACATAGCTTTAAAAGAGGAGGAGTCAGAGCAAATCAGTGGGGAGGAGACCATGTTGACGAAATCTAGGGACCCTTGAATAAATAGATCAGGCTATCACTCCCCAAGGGATGGCTTCAAATCTATATCAGCTGAAACTGGCGATGCGTAGGGGGTGCACGTGGGTGCACGTGCACTCCCTGAGATCGGCTGTGCACCCCTTGGAAATGCCAGCTGCAAAGCCAGAAGTGCTGGCAGAAGAGCACTTTTGGTTTCACTGCTGGTCATTTCAGGCTTGGCTATTGGCTGCTGGGGGACTCCCCCCCCCACCCTCCCGGTCAGCGATCGGCTGCTGAGGGACCCCCCCAACCCTGGTCGGTGATCTGGTGCCCCCCTCAGACTTGGGAGGCACCAGTTGTCCATGTCAGCTGATGAGAGGAACAAATTCAGACTGGTTCTAGCTCCCATCATTGAAGAGCCACTGAAGTCTTCTTTCTCACTGTCTTTATAGTAGAATCATGCCCAGTACTCCTAAACATATTACTGGGTTCAAGTGCATGCCTGGTGAAAAGTCTTGTTGATGATAGCAGGGATTAGTTTGTCTTGACAGGCCAGTTTACCCTGTGAGTTAGTTATGCTGGTGCAAGTCAGCATGGTTGCCATATTGTAATTAAGAAGAGGGTTTGGCCCACCTCTGAGTAGCAACACAGGATTAAAGAAAGTAATAAGCTGCATGCTATGCAGCTCTAAGTTTTCCCTATGTTTGTTCTTAATGGGACCTAGCCCCAGCGCTGGCCCTGAACATTCATCTGAGGCACCTTCCTATACCTGGCAAAGTCCAATGTCAACATCTTGAGAGGTACACGAAGAAATCACAAATTAGTATCCTTACTTCCTCTGGACATCTGTCAGGGTTATTCCTTGCTCTGTTGCTTTGAAGTGCACAATGGTGGGCATAGGGGGTGTCTCCAGTTCCAGGGTATAGGTGATGGCTTTCTGAATAGCTGGAGCACCAGTGAGTGTTTCCATGCTCACAGAGTTGAGGTACAAGACGTTGCACACTGCAAGACCACAGCACAGAACCAAGGTTAGTACAGAGTAGTGAGCAGGGGTGCTGCTGTTGGTGCCAGCCTGTCTCTCCTGCATTTGTTCAGAGCCCAGTGCTGTGAGGTCCAGGACAGGAGCTCCTAGGCCCTACTGCACAGAACAGGGCAATATGTTTCAGCTGAAACTTTTTCAGTGAAAACTGAAGATTCAGCCAAAAAATGCTTTACAAATTCATCTTTGATTTGTTAATTATTCAGATAGAAAAAATAATTTTTGAACAAATCAAGTGTGCAATATTTACATTTTCTAAAGAAACATCTTGATCTTTTCTGATTAAAAGTGACTTCATTTAAAATGTCCTTAACATTTTTTTAACCAAAAAAACCTTGCATTTCTGGTTGAGCCCACTTTAGTTTGACTCAAAACTTCCCCCACCCCTCTCTCCTCATAAAACTTTTCATTTCGCCAGCTTTATTTTATCTTTTAAAAAAATTCTCAGTAAAATTGAAAGATCAGTTTTTTCATGCTGTTCTACCACAGCAATACAAGACATAATACCAGTTTCTGGTTGCTCCTTTGCTTTCACTCACAGTATCCATAGCTTAATTCACACTATGGACAGGTGAAGGTCTAAACCAGATGACATTCAACTCTAGGCATCTAAAAGGTAAACTACAGCAGTACTGCAAACTCCAAGTATTCAAAAATCATGTCCCGAAATCATATGATTGATCTTAAATATCAGGAGACTTTAAAGCATGATAAAAAGTTGGGGGTTTTTTCTTCCTGAGGTTTGAGACTATATGAGTCAGGTTTTCTCCTCAGTCATAAGGATTCTGAATTTCCATTTTTAATGAAAATTCTGATTTTCAGGAAATCCCATGACTCCAGGAGTTGAAGGTTTTAAGCAAAACACCAGATATCATGACACTTGTGACAAAACTGTGAAAATAAACATCACTATCCTATCCTGAGTTTCTAGGTTAGGCCTGGCATTATGATGAGGTCCTACTCCCAGCAGCTGTTTCTCAGCTCCTGCCATGAATTGCGACAAAAACATTGGTATCTGGTGAGTTAGGAGCTAAAACACAGATGAGTAGATGGAAGTCCAGAGAGCTGACAGCAATTGGCAGTCCCTTCAGCACACAGTACAAGGGCCATAAATATGGTTGTTTTTCTGTGCTCACCAGCAGCTTTCTTCAGTGCAGCAAGTACAGATTCTGGAGTGGTATCAGGGCTGCTGTCTCCATCAGCAAGATCTGTGAAAACAACAAATGAGGGCACAAGGCACTTGTTAATTTGCACTTCACTGCTTTGCCACGGCTGAAATTTGCCTCCTGCCAGAAGACCCATAAGGCCCAGGATCTTTTAAAACCTCAAATTGGTCAGCACGATGGCGACTTTAACCCCCTATCGATGGGTCATTTTTAAGGATCAAGATGTTAGCCAGCATTACCCTTTCCCAAGCTTTTCTTGGATACAGCCCCTGTCCACTTCCCAGGATCTCACTACTCCTGGCCTTCATCTGCTCTGCTCACTGGCCCCATTTCCTCCGGGAAACTTAAGAGGGTTTTGCTCCCTGGAACACTCTGTCCACCACACATGGAGAGGATAAACCCCTTCCCGACCTACACACTTCAGCAGAGCACACTCACTGCTTCTCTGTCTGGGGTCATGTGCCATGGCCATCCCAGTACTATCACTTCAAATGCAGGTTTACACCTAATTTTCTTGCTTTCCCCCAACCAGCCAGGTTCTCTCTTCACCTTTCACCCCAGTGGCACTTACTACTACTATCCATTCAAGCCTCTCTTTCCCCTTAGTCTCCCCTTCTCTTGATTAGATTGACCTTGCAAATGAGTCACATGAGCCCTGCCTTGCAAATAAGTCACTTGCAGCCATATGCCAAGGAGGACAGAAGCTCAGTCCCTAAGGAACTGTTTTGGTCAACTAGTCTGCCCTCCTGTCTTGCCCAGACTCCTTCCCACCATTTTTTTCTGATTCACAAACGTACCTCGTGAAGGTATGATCAGCTTGCTGGGCAAGGAGAGCGGCATGATGGCATGCTGATACACAAAAGCTGACAGGCTCCCTGCAGCAGGGAAGGGAGAGAGGTTACAAAACTGCTTTGAGTGAATGAAACCCAGGACTTTAAGCTATTATTGAATGAATTCCCAGAGTTTTGAGAACACTCCTACAGACATCAGTGTCAGCAGAGACTGCAGGATCTGCCTAATGTCTAGCTTGGGCAACATTATAAGTATGTGTGTGTATTCACATACATACATTTATACATATTATCTATAATGTATGTGCAGGTATATGTATATTCTCACAAACATTGTTAACAGCTCTGATTGGCCAAGAGAAAAAATATGCTAGGAGATAATTAGGGATCAAACACCTAGGTGGAAAGCTCGAGGCAGGAACCACCGTATGCATCTGTGCAGCACCCAGCCCACTGCAGCCTCAAGATACTGCTGTAACAGGCATAATAAAAAGCAGCCACAGACACAGTCTGCAGGATCATATACCCTTACCAAAATACGGCTCCTCGCTTGCCCCTTTAAGGTGCACTCCCTTGGCAGATGACTCAATGAGGAAGTGCCGGACAAGGTCGCAGTTATCATCACCTGTGAGCAAAAGGCCAGACAACATTTATCAATGCTACAGTGATATGGCTCAAAATATGTTCCATCCTCCCCTCCTCCACATTTTCAACATGCCACCAGACTGGTGTTTTAGGAGGATTTATTGCAATCATGTGCAATATCTCTGTTTTGAGTGCACATGCAGGGTAGGGAGGTTGACGTGCTACTTCAGTGGGATGGATGCTATCAGATTACTCAAGGACTTCTGAAAATCCTTTCCAACCACAACTGGGATCTAGCCCTTATGTCCTGCTGGAGCCCTGACTTTGTAGGTGCATAGACCTTGCACTGGCTGATCTGAACTCTGGGATATTTCACTGAGCAAAGCTCCCATTGTTTTTCAGTTCACTTAAGAAATGCAGAAGGGAGCTGACAGAGACAAATTCTCTGAGGAAAATCCCGTGTGCTTGAGGGCCATTTCTATACCTGTCCTACTGCTGGATGGTGATACAAGAACCTTCATTGCCAGTCCAAACGACCCACGGTATGATGTGCTGTCACGCATAATAAAAGTGCCAGGCTCCTTGTCCTTCAGCAGCTCAATTGCTGTCAAAACACAAGGGGGATTAGACAAGCAAACAGGGTGGGCAGCACTTACCCATTGCTAAACCCTCTCTGGTGGTAGGGAAATGAAACAGTGGAAAGTCTGTTGTGTGTTAAAGGGCGGTCCCTGCAGTTAAAAGCCACAGGAACAGAGTGGCATTTTGTCTCCCTCTAGTGGCACATCTGCATAGAGAGGCCGAATGAGTCTCATAGTTCACTAAGCTGGAAGTCATGTCCCTTTCTCAGCTACCTTGGGTAGCAGAGCTTCCTGCTTTTAAATGCAGACTTTCTTAATTTTCCTCTTGCATGTGATCTGCCCAGGGGTGTGCCACTGCAGACAAGTGACTGAAGAGGACCTTGACTTCAGCCAGGACTTGGATTTTGGGACCTGGAAACTAAAGTCAATCCTTTTCAAACAAAAGTTGGCTAAGCTCATTGTCAGAAGGTTTCTTGTCCTTGTCACAAGGGAAGTCATTATTCCCCTCTATTCAGCACTGGTGAGGCCACATCTGGAGTACTGAGCTCAGTTTTGGGCCCCTTGCTACAGAAAGGATGTGAAGATATCAGAGAGAGACCAGCGAAGGGCAACAAAAATGGTGAGGGGGCTGGGGGGCATGAGTTATGAGGAAAGACTGAGGGAACTGGGCTTATTTAGTCTAGAGAAGAGGACACTAAGAAGGGATTTAATAGCAGCCTTCAACTACCAGAAGGGGGGTTCCAAAGAGGATGGAGCTGGACTGTTCTCAGTGGTGGCAGATGACAGAACAAGGAGCAATGGTTTCAAGTTGCAGCAAGGGAAATTTAGGTTAGATATTAGAAAGAATTTTCTCACTAGGAGGGTAGTAAAACACTGGAACAGGTTACCCACGGAGGCTGGGGAAACTCCATCCTTGGAGGTTTTCAAGACCTGGCTGGACAAAACTTAAGCTGGGATGATCTAGTTGGGGACAGTCCTGCTTTGGGCAGGGGGTTTGACTAGATGACCTCCTGAGGTCCCTTCCAACCCTAACTTTCTATGAGTCTATGATTCTAAGGTGGAGCACATCCTTCTTGACTCAGTACGAGGAGAATGATGACTCAATGTATTCTTGTGATCTTCCCCCCCTAGGCTGATGAGTGAACCTTTTCATTTCCATCCCAGGTGCTTCTATGGGATGGTATGCAGTCAGAAAGTAAGTCACCAGGGGACTTGCGTGATGCAAAAGGCTTCAGCTGGCTCACTGCAGGGGGGTGAATTCAAAGAACTCTGCACAGGGGCAGATTTGGTAATGTGCAATTACCTTGCTCCCTGGTGATGCTTGGCTTGAACCAGTATTTTGATGTGTCCATCACAAACTTCATGGTGGGCTGGCCATCTTTGGAGAAACCTACAAGAGATAACACAGTTTCCTCAAGGTGGGCATGTGACACTGAACTTTGCCTCTAGAGAAAGGTAGACTTATGGGCTGCAGGTATAAAAGTCCTAGGGATTCTCACCACAGGCATCTCTAATGGGAAAAGAGCCCTAACAAAGACCATTTACTTTTTAAACTAAACTTGGGCTGAACTGTTTATTTAAGCTGTTTAAACGGAACTTCCTCTCTGGTTCTCAGCAAAATTCACTTTCTACTCAATCATCTTCTTGGCAAACCACAGTCAAGATCAGAAAGATAACAGGCTAACTCCTCAGCTGGAGTAAATCGACAGAGCCCCACAAGAGCCAGAGCTGTGTTGATTTACATCAAATGAAAATCTGACCTGATACCTCCCCTCCTTCTTTCCCATGAGAATCCTGGGTCATGAGTTCCCCCCACTAGATTCTTCCAGAGAACAATGGACCTATTATTTACTCTTGAACTTGGAACCTTGTAAACTTGTGATATCTTCAGATGTCCTTCAAAACACACAGGGGGAAAAAACACTCGCATGTTTAGCACCCAAATAAGAATAAAATTAGAACGTGTGGAGCTATATCTTCAACTGAAGTAAATAAGTCTAGCTACTTCTGATTCAGTGGAACTACCAGGATGACATCATGTGAAATCCGACCTTATTGCTTTAAAGGACATCATATTGACAAGATGTTTTTGAAAGCAACTGTTTTTAGTGACCAGACAATTTCTGCACGAGATATTCTGCAGCAGTGTGTGTGTGTGTGTGTGTGTTCATTTATAAACCACATTGGCCATACTTTACATTAGGGTTCCATTTATAAAAGGTCACTTCAAATAACAACAAATGCCAATCAACAGCCAGTCAATTGTTATAGATCAAGGAAGACAACAAGTGAGCAGGTTGCTTATAATCATAGTGTATAGCCAACTCTAGGATCCTGTATAGATGTGCTTAATGCATAAGAGCATCTTGCATAAACTACTTATGCCTCTGATGTATTAATACTTTCTTAACCATTTATAAATGAAACTTTAATAAAGAGTGGAATCATAGTCTCCAGTTTTATCATATGCTTTCATTTCCAAATCCTGCATCTGTTCAGTGAACTAGATGATCCTTGTATTCCTTTGAATACTATGATACAAAGCTGGTTCCCTTGTCCTAGATGGCTTCACAAATCAGAAAGTGGCTACTATACAAGGCAGAGAGACAACTTACTGTCCATGGAGGAGGCGAGAGAAGAGTCAGAAGAGGTGTTAATCAAACTGCTGAGCCCTGAGGTTGGGCTGGAATTGGGTGGAACGGCTTTCTTGGTGGAACCATGATGGCCTTTGGTCAACCTGGGAGAAGACTTGCTATGCTCCAGACACCCATTTACCAGTAGTATGGGGATATCTGCCATGGAATTAACGATTGATGGGGGACAACTGCTGGCCTGCCCTTTCTGGAGCAGGGTGGAAGGAGTGGCATTCACTGTTTGTGATTGGTTTCCATTGGGTTGGTAGGAACCTGGACTGAAGCCTTCTCCTAAATGATCCACTTTGACAGTAGGGGAGGCTGAGTATGGGCTGCTGAGGGATCCCACAGACCAGGAGCTATCAGTTGAGAAGTGAGTTTCGGAGTCATCGTTAAGAAGTGAAGGAGTGCTGCTGCAGGAGGAAACAGAGGAAAGGGGGAAATTAGAGGGCTAGCTCTCTATCCAGCAAGCCATGTAGCAAGCCAACCACAAGACCACAGAGGGGCACCATGCCTGCTAGAGTCACTCTAAACCAAAAACTTCCTTGAACTTTGTGGGGAGGGGGAAAACATCTTGGCACTGAGAAATTGGAAGTAGCTGGCTCCATTTCCTGCCACTCCTGTTTTCCCTCTCTGCTTCTCCTACCTGAACAGCTCATTGCTGAAGGGCAGGAAGAAAGTAGAAGTGGCTAAATCGGAGTTCTACTAGGCGTTGGATTTTCCAAGTTGTCATTGCTCATCCAGAGCTGGCCAGCTTAATATACAATGCACATAAAATTAAGAAGGTGGAGGAATATCAGCCCCTCTCAGTTTTGTTTCATTGACTGGGGAACTATGTTACAGACCTGCATACAATACAAAGCTGCATTTACCTTCCAAGCATGTAACTGGTATCCGAACCTGGGCTAGTGGAGAGCTGAGACACTGCACTGGTTCTCTGCTGACCCCTCCCAGCATGTAAAGGCTTCAGCAAATTCTCAAAGCCTGGAGATGTGGACAGCAGAGAAGTTGACCCGTAGGAGATGCAGTCCCTCTGACCTCGCTGTGGGATGGAGATGCATTCTGATGCTTTGTTGCTGGTCTTGGAGTAACTCCCTAGGGAAGAGTTGTTTTGGAGAACTGCCTGGGCACTGTCAGATGCAGAAGGACTTGAGAAGACAACACTGCCATTTGTGCTGCAGTTGGGCTGGGTTGTCCTTTGGAGCAGGAGGCAATGGCCTTGAGGAGACCTGGAGAGCGGAGTCATGGAGGGGCTCCCTGAACCCTGCACTGATTCGTGACACTTGGCTCTGGTGGGGGTCATTTCGATGTACTTTATGTCTGAAACAAAACAGGTGGAGTTAAGGATCAAAGGCTCTGGGCAGGTTCATTTGCTGATCACAGCATGAGATTTCTCTCCATTTTTATTTTATATTTAGGTAACAATTTTCAAAACCTGGGAGATGTCAGTGTACAGTACATATAAGCAGGACATGCAGTCACTTAGGCCAAAGTTCCAAAAGCTGTCCTACACCCTCACAACACCTAGTGGCCTTGTCAAAGATCAGGCCTCCATGGCATTTGCTCATACATAGATTTGAGGTGACACAGTCCCTGCCCTGAGGGATGGAGACAAACGAGCACAGCCAACAGCTGTGATTTCAAAAAACTTGTGCCTGAGGGGACTGTGCAGTCATCCCTTTGCACCACATGCAACAAGCCCTGCAAAAAGGCTCATCTTGCACTGATGCCCAGATGTAGCATGGATTCTCCCGGAGATTTTGTCTGCGACCGGTTCCAAGTCCAAGACTTCAGTCTATCATGTGCCTTCTGTCTGACCTTGTGCAGAACACCCCTCTATTTCTGTTGCCTACATGACACCAAAGCAAGTGGTCCTGCAGGAGTGGTAAAACAAAAAGGCCTTGAGAAAAGCACTGCTTGTCTGAACTCTGCTTTATGGGAAAGGTTCACAGTGACCTAAACGGTCTTGAGTTGAGACCCTATAAGGTTTGCTTTCTCCACTGATAGCAAGCCCCAGTGGCCCAACCCCAATTCTTGGCAGGCTCTAAGGAAAGATAGGTTATGTACGGTCATCTCTGACACCACAGAACCTTTTGCAAGCCTGTTGGTACCTGCAGCAAAAGGGCGGCTGCTTCTATTTCTCTTCTGTAACAAGCAACTCTGTTTGTACCTGACTAAAGATAAAGACATCTGGCTACTCCCACATAAGCAATTACATCAGATGCAAGGGGAAAGGGATGTGCTTTCTGGATGAAATTCATGCCCCTTACAGCCATTTAAGGATCTAAAGCTCACTGGGTGTGGAGGCTGCAGGCTAACTCTACATGCTGGGGTGAATTTTGTCTGTTCTCAAGTGTGGCTGGAGGTTTTTAGCACTGGTAATTGTGCACAGAACTGGCATTGTGTGGTTTGGGGCAGAGCAAGGTGATTGGTTTAAAAATGCCTCCACTTTTCCAGTTAAACAGATTGTGGGTTGAGTATTCTGCTAGCAAATGCAGACAGATAATTGCATTTTCCCAATTTGGCCAATTTGATGATAGAAATCATTCCTAGGGCAATTCAAGCGTGTGCACTTCACAGTCTGTTTCCTCTTCCTATACCAGTGGTATTTTCCATTCCAGCAAGACAGAACCCACTATCCTTCACTTGCCTTCTCCTTCAGAGTTCATGGGACCAGGCACAGGTGACTGGTAGGGGGGGCACGTGCCCCTCCTGAGATTGGCCCCCAACTCGGCACTGCTCAGGACAGGGCAGTTTTTTGCCACACGGGTTGGCAGCATGTTGGGGGGGGGGGGGGGGCACTAAACCACGACAGAGAAGCATAGGAGTGGATATGGGACTTTTGGCCTGGCACTGGGCCCACCCACAAATTGTGCCCCTGCCCCCCCCCAGACTCAGGAGGCACCAGTCACCCCTGGGACCATGCAAAAAGCAGGTGCAAATATTGGCCTGTTTGTCCACATGCCTGAAAAGATAAAAGGCTCGTTTCTAAGCACACCTTAGACACACCTAGAATTTTAAAAAAAAGTGCCTCCAGGTCTGCACGCTCACACTAAACAGCTCACATGCTCTGAGGGTTAGAGATGAGTTCTGAGATATTAGGTCTCTGGGTTCTAACTCCCTGCTTTTGGGAGCACTGCAGGGTCTAGTGACTACAGCAGGGAGGGGTGAACCAGGACTCTTCAATTCTGTTTCTATTTCTCATTTCTGTCAGACACCAGTGAACTGCAGTGTACCTTTGCTCAACCACCTGTAAATCAGGAAATCGCTCACATCTACTGGGATGCCAATCTTAATTAGTTAATTCTTGTAACTTGCTCTGAGATCTTCAAGTGAGAAGTACGGGAGAAGTGCCACAAACATTGAGACATCTGGCTACTGGATACTGATTTCCAGTGGCTGGATCTCTGTGCATGCAAGTCATAGGATGTTCCAGAGGGATTCCTTCATTCAGTAATGCCAGCTGATGCCTGTAGCCCACTCCCATTGTACTAAGTGCCAATGTTCAAGGCGATGCTGCTACCACCCTGCAGTGAGCTGTTTCCTCAGCCATTTGGGCTGATTCTTACTTTTGAGGGGCAGGTGCCCCAGGAAAACTATAGGGAGTGGTGCAGCCAGTGTAACAAGCTACTTCTCCCCAAGAAAGGGCTATTTGTCTCCTCTAGTAAAACAGTGTAATGCAGTGGATTTAAATCCCAGCCACAAAACCAGCAGGGGAGGAACATTACTCAGATGATTTGGTCACTGAGTTAAGACCTCCTGAAAGGAAACCAGAGAATTTTCCTCAGTGGTTCCTGAACCAGATCTACCAGTTCTGGGTGAGCTGGAAGGCGAGAGACATCCCAGCCTTGATTCAAGGATGTAAATGATGGAGGATCCATCAGTTCCCTGGACAAGTTGTTCCAACAGTTGATTACTCTCCCTGTTAAATATGTGCACCATGTTTCTGTTCTGAATGTAGCTAGTATTCCCTTTCCAGCTGCCAGATCTGGCTATGCCTTTGAGTCCACAAAGGCCCCTTGCTCTGTTTTTTAAAGGCATCTGTAGGATGGAACTTTTTTTTTGTTTTGTTTGCTGCAGCAATGAGAAAATGCTCTTAAAAAGTCTTGAGTTTCCCTTACACTTAATTTTACACAGATTATCATCTTATAACTCGTGGTTAGTGACTGCATTGTTTCGGGAGGACAGTTAAATTCCGGATTGCCAAGGACTGCGGTAACTGTTTATCGTAAGGAACAACTAGGCCTTGGAGGCATCAAGTTCTATGATTAGTAAAAGTGCAAGCCTGTACAAAAGTTACTCATCAGGCATCATCTTGATGCCAAGCTCCTAGGCTAAGCACAAGGAGATGCTTGGTTTAATTGGCATGATGAATCTGTCTACTGTTGAGGAAATAATATTTAGACAAAGCACTTCAGATCCATGACAAACCAGAACCAGCAAAGAGAGCATATACAAACTTTTATTTGTATACAGTAACCCCCAGTCCCGCTTCAGTGCATCATACTAGCTATGGGGCCCCTGGGTTTCATCAAGGGCTTGAATTGCTTCTACCCTGTCAGTGCAACTCAGGTCTAACAGAAGAACACAGCCGAGTGTGAGATCAACCCCAGCTCCTTTCCACATAGTTATTGCAAGTGGAACAGAGGAGGAGAAAGGGAAATATAAATGGCACTAAGTGACAGGGCTTTAGGAATCCTTTCAGAAGCTTTGAAATTGTTTTTTTCTTAAAAAAAAAGATAAAAACCCCCTCTTGCTTCAAAACCTTTTCCAAAACTCTCTTTCCCCCTTGTCATAGCTAAAACGCAACAATAATACCATCAGAGTTGATCCTTGCCGAAGCTCAGTAATTAATTAGTTCCAGTGTCAGCTAATCAGTAGGCAAAGCTCTTTTAACAAGCCCCTCGCTGGATGTGGTTAGTCCAGGTCTTCTTCATCTTTACAAGAAGACATTGTTGTAACTCTTTAAAGATCCCTTTTAGAGAAATAATTGAATGGTTCTGTGTAAAAAGGTTAACAAAGCTCTTTGCTATTGCAAAAGCTCACGTTTATCAGACCTGTTTAATCCTTAAATATTTGCTTATAGTCCTTGCTATTTTTTCAGCATTGACAAGCAGTAGAAGTGACTGCAAAATGACAGCCCAGTTGTCACAAGTGCTGAAAGCACTGCAGGGCAGAGGGGACCAATCTAATGTTCTCCAAAACAACAAAGTACCAGAGATAATTAGCCTGTGTTATGAATTTGTCTTCTATAAAAACAGTGCCTATTATGCAAACTCTCCCTAACTGGAAGGTTAAAAAGCACATATCATGTTTTCCATTAGACAGGAACAACAAGAAAAGCCCTCTAGTGTACCCAGGGCCATTGTAGAAACATTTCTCCAGTGCCAATGTGTCCCTAACAGCCCTCAAGCAACATGGTGCAGTTTGTAAGTAACTCTCAGCCCTGAATATTCCCTGCTCCCCAGTGCTGTTTCTTTAGAAGTGATTTCCAGCAAGAAAATGGACTTGGAACCCAAAAGGGAAAAAGAAAAACCATAAAAGATGCCATTCTCAGAAATTCTCTATTGTTCTTTGGAAGAATGCTAGTGCTTTCCAATGCATGTAGTTATCTCCACAGGCCGAGCCCATCACCTGGGAGTTTCTTGCAACACCTGAGAGTTCCTTGCAAGCAGTGTTATCCTTATTACCTCCCATAAGATAAAGGTAAAGTAAACTGGGTATTACAGACAGAGAAACTGAGATACAGAAGCCTTATGTACATTAAACTTGTTTTTCTAGTAAGGAACAACAACCCTACCTTGTGGCAACACTGGTGCGGTGGGGCAGTCTACACCAACATGCATTGTGCTCTTACTGAACCTGATGAGAGGGACATGGTGGCCAAATTTTGCTCATCTCCCTGCTGCTAACCAGGGGCAGAGTGGCTGAAGAGGCAGATTTAAATAAGAATAAATAAGAATAAAGCTCCCCCCCTTCCCCATTCCCACTGCAGCACCTTAACTGCACTTGTTAAAGCCCCTCCAACCAGGTCATCATGGCTGCTCACCAGCAATGACTGCAGAACACACAAATAACACTGATACATGCTCACATTGCTCTAACCTCTATGCTCACTCACCCGGGCTCATTGCCCCCTGCATGCTACATCTGATCATCTGCCTTCCCTGCTAGCACATCATTAAACCACACACCTGCTGTGGCTCTGACTTTAGTTCACTGCACTTCATCCGTTCACCTTTTCCTCCCTTCAATCCATGCTTCTCATGAACAAAGGTTCACTGAGGCTCATATGCCTTTCCTTTGGCCAACAGAGCAGGAGAACAGTGTTTTATTATATACCTCTGATATTCCATCATTTGGTAACTCCTGGACTGTGGGACTCAGAGCCAGATTTTCAAAGGCATTTTTAGGTGCCTACATACCTTTAAAAACTCAGCCCCCAGTGAATAGCTGAGAGTAATGAATGTTCTTATCATACTAGGCAAATTATGGATTAAGTGGTGCATAGTAACCACCTAAATGGCTTGGAGACAGAAATACAAATGGAAGGAAAAGCCTGGTCACATCCTTAAGATGAGACATATACAGCAGCTGGGCACAGCATAGATTCTGAATGAGTGGAAGACAATTAGTTGTGTGTTATGAGTTAAAACATTCAGATCACCCTAGCAGTCATAGTGAGAGGGCTTTTGCAATGCTCTGTTGATGTTCTAAAACTGAGATCACCGTTAGTATATTTGTAATTAAGGTGTTTTGCCAGGCTAGGTATGATGGCAGACAGAACCTGGTACAAAGCATGCAGAAATAACTTTTCTACAGTTAACTAGGCCTTGTAAAACAGGTTGAAAATTTAGAGAAGAGAAAGGTAGTACACAGGTAAGAACATTATCTTGGGGTTTGGGACACCCGAGTCCAATCCTTACTCTGCCACAAGCTCCCATGATGACCTCAGGCAGGTCACTTAGTCCTGCTGTGTCTCAGCTGCCCATTTATAATAGGGATGACTGCATTTCCCTACTTCACAGAGGAGCTACAAAGAGAAAAACATTGCAGCCTGAGGCTTCCATATACTAAGTATATGTACTTCAGTGAGATAGAAAGCTCACCAGCTCAGAGATAAGTGCCTGCCCCTTCCTCCCAATCAATGATATGACAGACAAGTAATGTCTCACATACAGAACAACACAGGTTGTACCCTGGTAATATTCATGGCTTAGTTGCATTGATGCCCCAATTTGAGGACTTAAGCACTGCTTGGTTCTTGGGTTGGCAAATTGCAAAGGGCTGAATTTCCAGGGCTTGCAACTGGCACAAGCCATACATTAAGACAATGATGGACTCTGCTTCTGCTCCTTTATGAGCAGCCTTTTACCAGCTTTGAGCTTGCTCAGCATTGGGTCCATTGCACTTTGATGAACTTTGTCTTACCTAATGTTTCTGATTCTTGTTGCTTGGTAACAGACTTGTTGCTGAGAGCACTGGCTTTGACAGCATCCTTCTTGCCATTGACTGACTGGAATGCAAGTGGCTGAAAGGTAGGATCAATCTCTAAGATCAATTGGTTCAGGCTTTCTATTGACACATCCAAGGTAGGAGATACTGGACTGGCTTCAGGATTTGCATCAGTTTCATCATCTCCTTTTGACTGATGGGCAAGACTGGGTCTTTCCATAAAGATGACCTGATGCTCGTGCCCTTGAGAGGTCATGTGTTTAAACACTGCATTAGAGTTAGTACCATGGAGTCCCCCATTTGGGTGCAGATGTGTTGTGGTTTGGGTCATTGTGGGTTGGCCAACCCAGCCCTCTGTTGAATAATAGGAGCATTTTGCAGATCTGGTAGGGCAGCAGGGGCACCCAGCTGGGTGTATGCATTGGCTTTCTTCCCGTGATGTCACACATATTGTCTGTCCAACCTGTAACACATGATTTGTTAGAACCTGAGACATTGTTTTGTTTTTCTGCCTTCGGACTTGGTCTTCAAGAGTTCTCCTCGTTGTCCTTTAAGTGGATTTTTAAAGGTATGTGCCTTTGAATTCCAAGGACAACAAACTTGTTGTGGGGCCACTCTCTCAAGTGGGAGGCACTCCAATGGAATCTAAAGAATGCAAATAAAGGAATGGTTAGAGACGAGGAACAAATGGACCGGGAATGCACTTCAGCAGAACCGTGTGAAATTAAATTTGAAAGGGAAAAACAATCATGCTGCATTTTTTTACATGTGATGCTGCCTGCAAGTTATGAGTCCTAGAATGTCTTTAGGCAGGTTGTAGGTTAATCCTCATTGCAAAAGTTTTTCGGCATTCAATTGCCTCTTCTCTTACCCCAATAAACAGCTAAATTCTCTCAGCTCCATTTGAACTGTAACTTTGGCTTCCAAAAAAGAACCAGAGACATGTCAAAGAAGACAGTGATAGACAGCTTACCCTGAACAATGCAACTAAGCCTTGTGAGGAACTGGAAGGATTGAGCTGATTGCTAGCATAGTGATTTTCATGTGGGGATGAACTATCTTCAACCTATTTTACTTTACTGCTTCAGAATGTACCAAGCCCAGGACACTAACCAATATGGCTACACAGTAGCCTGAAGCAATATTTTAGGAACCTGGCTTGTGTTAAATATTGAATATTAATCCAAATCAAACACACCTGGGGAGAGGGAGGGTGCGGAAATTGGAGAATCACTACTTGAACAATCCCCTCCCCACAACACAGCCTGCCTTGAAGTTTCTTGGCATTATTCACATGGATGCAAAGTCTCATGACATTGCCTGGAAACAATTGTAATCCTGCTGTGTTTCTTCTCTTAGTTTTGGAAACAACTTAAATTTCTAAGAACTTACAACATCCCTCACATTCTGCTTGCACAAACACAGCAGATAACTGCCATGAAATAAAATATATAAGCATCAAACGTATTGTGGGAAACTAGCCATTAAAATCATACTTCTATAGAGGTGAAAAAGTAAGTTCAGCCTCATTCTTCATGTTCCAATCCAATGCCTCACAAAATCCAGGAGCTAACATTAGGTGTTCAACAAAATAATACATGAATGAGTTCATTATATCTTTATTGGAAGGCCTTTATGAGAAATGGGCCAGGATCTACATCTCAAATCTGGACCCTGCCCAGAACTTTGGGAAAGTTTAGACCTAGATAATAGATTTTTAATCTTTATAGATGTATATGAGATGACTTGCCATCTTGGCTGTAATTGGAAGAGACCTCCAGAGCTGAAGCATCAGAAGAATGACTAAGTTCTGTAGCTGGAAGCTATAACACTTTCATATCCTGTGTGGATCAGACTGTGTAATACACCCTGAACGCTGGATTATATGTGTTGTTTTAATAAAAAACTGTCCAATCTTGCTTCACCCAAGAATGCATTCATTTACATGAATTTACTTGGCTATCTTAGATTTTATTAACTATGGAGTCAAAGAATTAGAAAAGCCACATGTTGACTGTAGACAGAGTTTATAACACAAGGTTTGGGTGGAGGAGCAAAGTATTAAGGCTGGCTTGGTACGTCATGTCTGGTAAGCAATGACTAATTGCCTTGTAGGCTTTGAGATCTATTAGTGAGATGACAGACATACCTTGAAAACAGCCATCATTTACCCTCTACAAAATTATATAATCTTAAAGCAAACATACGCCTTCAAGACTCACCTTCAACACTCACTGTATCAGAGACACCCCGGAATAAGAAAAACTACCTTGACTTGTGAATAATAGCAAACACTCAGCTGTTGTCTATTAGCCACTCATGCAGTTCTGTGGCAGTCAGGCTATAAGATCATGAATTGCATCCATTCTGTTTCCAAAAGGGCCAGTTTTAATATGGAATGAAAAATGAATAAATATTTTAAGTTCATTTAGCTCCTTTACAACCAGGGACCCCACTGTGTTTCCTGTATCTATTGTGCAGCCATGAAAATAAAATATAATATAAAGCTGGCAGGCAGAGAAGCCAGTAATAAAAGGTTCGGGAGCTATGTTTAATCCTTCGACAGGAAATGTGCTGCAAAAAAGGGAAATCACCATTGAGACAGCAGCTATTATGCCTGTAATTGGAAATTAGATGGGCACATGGTGCCTCTGAACTGTAACGAACACTGATTTATGCTACAAATAGGGGGAAGATGCAGACTCTGCCTTTTCCAGTTGTTACTGTTAAATGTTCAAATCTAGCTCATGTTGCTTGGAGCAGGTTGTGTTTATCAAAAACACAGCCTGTTCCATCACTAATATGCCGTGGGCTCTGGTCTAATTACAGCATTGGGAGTGGTTCCTTATTAGTGATTTAAAAAAAAAAGCCACTAGGAAGCTGTTTTGAGGAATAAAAACAGGAAAGAGTCTGTCTAGGTGTGATACTTTATATGACCCCCCACCCTTGCATTGTGGTTCCTTCTGTCTCACAGCCATTAACAAATTCATCCCCATAACAGTCTGGTGGTGGAGAACACCCATGCTACACCTCACTGACTTGCTTGAGGTCATATAGGGAGTCTATGGCAAAAATCCCAGTATATTCAAATCTACTATGTCCTAATCCACTACTCTGACCACTGCACCACAATTTCTTTAGCAGCATGGCAAGTCCTGTAGGTGCTGTAAGGTAATGTTAAATGAACAACTAGTGGTAACTTCCTGACAAATGATTTCATTTTAAATTATACCCCTGTGCTCATCAGCAGGTCATGACCTGACTTGCAAGACTGCAAAAGCTGTAATACTTTCGTTCCATTTCCCAAAAGGCCAGCAACACAGGTATCCTTATCTGTCTGCTCTATGGACAAACAGCTCCCCTTGCCCTCCCCGCCATAACAAGCCCCTTTGTGGTCCAACAATGCTCAACACAGTTGTGATCAGAAGGATACTTTGGTACAGCAGTTGAAGCGTGATGATGAAAACATCATTTCAGACTCAAACGGGAGGGGAACAAGGGAAAGAATGGAAACTAGATTTTCTTCTTTGGGAGGACTGGCTAGCTCAGATCAGCATCAGCAAAACAAAAGGTGTTTCTTAAATTAAAGTAGGTATGCAGGAGTATGCACTACCCACAGAACATGGTTAAGATGGGTGTTGTGAATTTGCACACATCCAGTATTTCCAGAGGATTTTCTACCTTTTTTGTATCTTTAGCGCTACATCTACTTTTAATGTAACTGGCATCTACTTCATGTCTCTTCCTCCTCTCCAGTTAAAGAAGGAGATCATGCCAGGCTAATCATCAAGAATTTCAGCTATAAATTAGGGACTGGTCAACTGGGGGCTTTAGAGAAGGAGAAAGATCTCGGGAGATCAGCAGATCACAGGGTAGTTATATCAGCCAACAACCTGATGCAGCTATGAAAAAAAAGGCAAATGCAATCCTAGGATGTATTCAATCAGGTATTTCCAAGTAAAGACAGGGAAGTATTAATACCATTTTATGAGGATCTGGTGAGACTTCCCATGGAATAGTGTGTATGGTTCTGGTCACCCATGTTCATGAAAGATGAATTTGAACTGCAGTGGGTTCAGAGAAGGGCTACTAGGTTGATCAGAGAAATGGAAAAATTAGAAGAGCTTGGCTTGTTTAACGTAGCAACTTAAAGGTGGATAGGACTACTTTGGATAAGTACGTAAGGGAAACAAACACTGGAGGGGGAAAAGTGCTATTCAGTCCAAACCACAGTGTCAGCACAAGAACAAATAGGTATAAACTAGCTGTGAATAAACTAAGAATGTAAGAGTATAAAATTGGAGGGAAGGGTAGGAGGAGGTTTCTCACCTCCAGAGCTATGAGGTTCTGGAACAGCCTTGCATAAGGAGCTATGGGCAAAAACCTGACTAGTTTGAAGATGAAATGTGCCAAGGGTATGAATGGGACTCTGTGGTGATGTTACCTATGATAGCAGGGACTGGACTCATTGATCTAGGAGGTCCCTATCCCCATTCCAGATCCCTCGCCCCTAACCTCTGCCAACTAAGAAGCCCAACACAGTGAACACAGCTTCTAATTGCTGTGCAATGTGATGCCCTTGAGTGGGAGTGGAAATTGCATGCCAGGACCTCCAGCCATTGCTGCCTAAACTAAAAAAGTTTACTCCTGGCAGCTCAAAACTAGGAATAAACAGAGACCTCTGTTTGGTCCAGTCACCAGACAGGCACACAGAGCCTCTCTGTATAAATGTGAATGCCACTAAATTGCAGTAGCAGCTGCCATTTTGAGTTCAGTGCAGCTGTAGCCTTGGTCAGAGGAGGTGTGCACTGTTGTGTGCTTGCTCCCGTACAAACACAGGTCCTATTTTCATTCTTAGACATTCTGTTGATTCCCCTAACACAGGGGTGGGCAATTATTTCAGGCGGAGGGCCGCTTACTTAGTTTTGGCAAGCCATCGAGGGCCACATGACAGGCAGCCAGGGCAGATAACTATGAATTTTCTAAAATTTTTAGGGGTCCCACAGGACAGGTAGAATGGCCTGGCGGGCCACATCTGGCCCGCGGGCTGCATTTTGCCCATCCCTGCCAATGGTGCTCATAATGGTGCTCAGCTATATGTCAGCATATAGCTGAGCAATTGCTCCCCTTTCCCCATGGCCTTCAACTTTAAAACTTGCTTTGTTGCAATGAAGACACGGTCATTTCCCCCTTACTCTAATGGAAGACCCAAAACAGTAAAACCCAGATAGTTTTCAGCTGTGGAGTCTGTCTTATTTCTCCGTAAATGAGTGCCCTCAAGCACCTTTGAGGTCAGGCCCGTTAAACCTCCACTGGCCAGAGAGTGGTGGACAAATCTCGGGATTCCCCGGCCATAGAAGGCTACAGAATTGATTATGCTCCCCTTAATCATCAAGAGGACAATTCTTTGACTTGCCCAGATTACCAGGGTATGTCAGTGAGGTCGAGAAAAAGGGGTTGCTATGGTTATGTTGGCTATGTTTTGATTGCAGAATATGCAACAGCAGTATCAAGTAACAAACTATTAATATTCTTCCAGCTATTAGGGAGGTAGCAGCCTCCAGAGGTAGTCGGCTGATGTCAGCAAAGGGACAAAAAGCTGCTTTCCTGAAGCTCTCACAACATGATCATCGTGTGTGGGTCTGGGGGTGTACCTATCTGTATCTACACTCTCTCCTCAACTGCTGACAATAAGGATGAGTAAACATTCAGAAGCAGCAAGGGATTTTTTTCAGAAACAGTGGACAACTTTGCTAGCTCTCACCAGTTTAAACAGGAGTCTCTTATTTGGCCATTTTCCTAAAGCCTCTAGCCTCTGGATGCATGAGACTACAACAGATCTCAGCTTTCATTTAGTTTTCCAGCCCTTGTGGTTGCCGAGAAAAGCTTGTTAACATAACCCCTCAAATTTTCAAAAACCAGAAGGCACAGAAGATCCTCCCACAAAAGTAACCCTAAACTATTTGGATTAAAATTCTTGACATTTTAGCAAATGTCAGGAATTTGATCTTGACTCACGAGTGTTGCACGCTTGGGGTTAGCAACGCTCAAATTGCTGTTATTTCTCTCTCTGCCCAATGCAAACCTCCCTTCTTCCACCAGTGAAGATGGATTCATCCTATTATATGGACATCTCTTGCCATCATACTTCAACTAAACCCATTATAAACCTTGGCACAGCTGCGCTGTGCACACTTGAACGCTCTGCCTCTAACTCAGCAGGTGGTAGCTGTTCCCTCATCTGTTCCTAGGACAAACTTTAAAGTGGGTTTAAGTTTGCAGGCCCTGCACTACCGTTCACCAGTTGGGGGAAAAACAGCTGAAAACTCTGGAAAAAATATGAGTCCTCTGAGTCCAGTCCAAATAGCAGATTAGATTTGATCTCAGATTTGTTTGAAAGAGGTCACCTGACTTGGGGGCTTTCCATCCCAAACATACAGTCAGGCACTTTAGATATGGGTCTTGTTTTTCTCTCTGTGCCACTGACCTGCTGAGAGACTGTGGCAGGTTGCATCCCCTTTCTGTGCCTCAGTTTCCTGCTTGTAAAATAGGAACAGTAGTACCACTATGTTCCCAAATGAAAGTAATCTCTGGGGGAGTGGTGTTCTTTCATAGGAAGCATCTTATTTGAAGAACATGGGACTGAAAGGGACCTCTGGGTCATGGAGTCCAGTCACCTGCTACCCTATAACACCAACGTCACCTTATTTCTTTTATACAGCTCTGCATTAAACCTTGTTTGGTGTTAGATGATGCCAGTGTTAAGACAACGGGTCCTTACAGAGTTTGCTACCAGCTACTGGATAGGGGCTTGGGCCTTTAAGGTGGCTACCTGACCTTTAAAACACTTGCGGCTGGATCTCATATGGAGTTGAGCATCCTTCTTTCCCACTGAAGTCACTGAGATCTTGTGGCGGGGTGGAGCTCATGTCCTCCCTGGGTTGGTCCCAATACTTTTCTCTCAGGGTTTCCAATCCAGATTCTGCCCTCCTGCACCACAACTTGTTTTTCCTTGGGGGGCAGGTCCCAGGAAGCCCCTTGTCTAGAGACTGCAATCTTGCAAAAGCACCACACAGAGTGCAGGGTCCTCTGACCTGTGCTTGTCATGGACTGTTCATAGCACTGCTGTGAAAGTTTACTAGGGAAGTGGGGAGCACTTCTAATTTATAAATCTCTGACTGTGGAAACAATCCCTGGTGACTAGTGCAGTGGGTCCCTGGAAAGGTGGATTCTGTTCCTAGCTCAGCATTGTTGTATGATCTGGTGCGAGTCTCTTCTTCTCTCTGGGCCTGCATCCCATCCCACATTTTGTCTGTCTGTTCTATTTAGACTGTCAGCGCTCCCAGGCTTGTATAGTGCCCAACACCATGTTCACAATTGGGACTTCTAGGTGCTACCATAACATAAAGGTTAAATCCTGAAGCCATGTTACTAAAGCAAGATCCTCAGTCCCCAACCACAGCCCCCTTTCTATTTTAACAGCTTCTCTCTAGATGGGCTTGCCATACCTGAATCCTGATGTATAGTTCATCCTTGCTGACTTTCAGTGGCTTAATGAAGAGGTTGCAATCTTACCTTAGCCTGACTAACACGCGATTCATTTTCCTCCTGAGCCCCATAGAATGCATCGCCTACAGCTAGTTAGACTTCTCGCTGCAGTGTTATATTTCTATTGTCCTAACTTTCAACACTTTATCACAATAAAAGGCTGCCACTGAAGAAGGGAAGGGAGGAGGGGGAGAAACCCCTCACTGCTTCATTTCTGCAGGCTAAGCAGATTTCACTGGGGGTGGATTAAGCATTTACAGCACTGGTGCAAGTACGCAAGCCACGTGCATCACAGAAAAGCTGAACACGCTGTGTGAACCCTGACTGAACAGGGAAAATAACAACTACTTTAATAGCATAAAGCTAAAAAACAGTAAAAAACAGCCATTCCTTGGCCCTCACAATAAATATAAAGCCTTTTAATTTCAAACAGAGCATACGACACCCCTTCTCACCCAGAGTAAATAGTGTTGGATTCTTTGCCAACCTGTTGCATCGATCAGAGAAGAACCACCATGTCCTGGCTTATTTGATGTCTCTGTGGGATATATGGTATTTTCTCAGGAAAAATAAAATGAAATGAATCACCAGCCAAATACCAAGCAGCACAGGAAGGAGGAATATGACGGAAGAGGGGGAAAAAGAGAGAGAAAAGTATAAGTTTAAAAAAGACAAGTTTAAGAGGAAGAAAGAATTCAAAAAGACTTCTAAGATGAAGGAAAATGCATGAATTATACTTGAAATAGATTCTGGTGCAACCAAAGCAGGTACCTGGGCTGTGAGTTAACTGGTCCCTTCCGCTGTCACGGCTCCTCCTGTGATGCCTCCTTTAAGATTCTTGCTTTTTATGAAATAAGCCCGGGGTGAATGTGTGCAGGGACTCAAATCTGTGGGTGCCTTTGTTTTAATACTAGCCCAGTCCCACCCACAGGGCTGAGCTTGTAGGAACCATGTCTGTCCACACCCATTCCACATTGCAAGGTGTGGCACAGTCTAGGTATGATGCAAGAGGGAAGGTCCAAAGACTGTAAGTAGAGGGAGGAGCTGAACACAGCTGGCAGCAGACCAGATCCAGTCCAAAATGCATGCCTAGGTAGTTGCACAGGAAACGACTGAGGACAGAGAATTCAGAGAGGGACATGCTCCTCATTGAGCAGCTCAGAGCTGCAAAAGATTGTGTCCCTACCATACTAGCACAAACCTAGAAAGGTGGCAGTATGCCCCTGCACCATGATAATATTATCACAACCAGACACTAGTAATAATTCCTGTAGGAGTTACAAAACACTTTGAGATCTTTAGTAGGAAAAATCCAGATGGGCAAAATACTGTATTAATTACAGTTATTGTAATCAAGAGGTTAATGACACCAACCCTAGAAAATAATATTTTAAAAAGCTAAATCCTGCTAGCATTTCACAACTTGCCATATGTTGCCCCTCAAAGTGACTGAGAACTTCCTGGGGACAGCAAGGATAGAACTCACTTCTTGTTCCAAAAGTCAAGTACTGAATGCTAGAGTTACAGGGCACTCTCTGTTAGGTGGTCAGCAGCATAGGACTTATGACACACAAGTGATCAGTGCTGACCCCTTTCCACCTTGAAACATTCAATGATAATTTTTCTTTCTGGGGCCTTTCAGGATCAGCAAGAGGCAGATGAGCTACACTCAGATAAGCAGATGCACAGGGAACACTGCTGCAATCGCTACAACCTTCAGTGGGACATGGAGAAAGGTCTTTTATAAAGTAAGTACCAAATCTCATTTGCACTGGAAGCGGGTGGCAAAGCTCAAGGGTCAGGATCCTCAGGTGGTGTGTGTTGAGGTACCTCCACTGGAATTGGCTGAGGAGCTGACATTATGTCAGAGCTGGGCTCATTATGGGCTCCAGAGCTGCACTGTATCATCCTGTTGGGACAAGACTATTAGTACTGAATGGGATATACACAGGCAGACAGTAGCATCCCTGAAGGCTGACCTTCTGCTGTACATACAGATCATTGGAGGTGATGGGGGTGAGAGGGGGGGTGCGGTGCAGCAGCAATGCCTCAGACCTGCTTTTGAATGTAGTTTTTAAACTGAGATTTTATAAGAAGTGGAGAGTGTGGAAAAGGCTACAACTAACTTTGCTCCCCAGGATGTGCATCTTTAATTCCTTTTTTCCCCAACTCTTCTATCCTGGGCATGTCTACATATGGATTTGACCTGGCCTGTGTTTATACTGGTATAAGCTACTCTGGTGTAAGTGCTTTCGGGCAGGGATCTACACATGTGGGGATTAGGGAGCAGATTTGCTGCTCTTTGCACCAAGTTTCCTGCAGCCCTGCAATGGGCCCCTGTCACCACCGGGACCTTCCCACTTAGCACACAGAGCCTCCCCCCCACCAATTAACAGAGCCTCTCCATCAACCAACCCACTCACCAACAATAAAAAACCTTCCCTGTGCAAACTTTTTACAACAATGTCCTTTGTGGGCCATCCTGGGGTGGGGTGGGGGGGCATAGGGTAGAGGTGCCTAGGGGGCAAAGCCCAGGGGCAGGCAGCCAGCACCCCAGCCTCTGGCTGTTCCCCTGCAGGTCCGGATGCTGCAGTGAGTGTGGCAAGTGCAGGCGGCTCCCCCTCTGGCAGGTAGAGTCCAGGCCCAGCAGGGCCAGTGTGTGGTCCTGGTGCTGCTGCAGGCAGCTCTGGCTCTGTGCCCATGTGGAGCCAGGGCAAGTGGTGGGGCTGGACCCAGGCGGGGTGGCAGGGTGGCTGTGTGGTGGAGCATCTAGGGCAGGGCCAGGAATCTTGGCAGCTGGACCTGCAGGACCTCCTCCCAGGCCTAGGAGGGGGCCTACTGTGGGGTGATGGGTGGCTGCCAGGGAGCATGCAGGGCTAGAGTCAGGGGCTGGGCAGTGGGTGGCATGAATGTGACCACCAGGGCCAGAATGATGTCCAGGAACTGACAGTTGTCATCTGTGACCTGCACTGGCAGGATGCCAGCCCAGGATGGCATTCTGTTCCTGCAGCACCTGGAGCCGCTTGCGCTCCAGGGCCAGGGGCTCAGCCCAGAACTACTGGTCCACCTGCTCCCATGTCTCCTTGGTCCAGTCCCTTGCCTCCTCACACCAGTCCTACGCGTCCTTGTGGGCAATGCCTTCCACCCACCAGGCCTGTGAGACGTCCAGCCAGTCCTGCGATGTTGTCACTGTCTGCTCCATGATGAATGTCCTGTCCTGGGTCTCCCTCTGGTGGAGCCAGTGCATCCACAGGGACTGGATGTGGGAGGCAGTGACCCTGAGGCCACATCCCAGCTTCCAGGGGCAGCCTCTCCCCTGTGTGCAGCTGCAGGCCCTGTAGAGCCGCGAGACAGAAGTTGTTTGTGAGAGTTTGCAACATTTCTGAGTTAAGATGCTCTGTACCAGGGACTGTGTGCTGCCCTGTCTCACATCAGGGGTTGGGTGTGCATGGGTGCCCAGGGACCGTAATAAGTCAGGCTGACATGCTGAGACCCAGGCAGTCACTGGCTGAATCCCCCATCCCCACTCACTCCCCAGGGGTCGGTGGGCTGCTGGGTGCTGGCCGCAGGCAGCCTGCCTCCCCCACACTGTGCCCAGGGCAGGCTCCTGGAAGCCCCTGTTGCTGCAGCTCCAGACCCCACTTCACCCTTCTCCCCCTCCTCCTGCAGGCTGGTTAGCCTGCCTCCTGTGCTGCCACCAGCCTACAGTGCCCAAGCTCAGGGGCCATGGTGCTCCCAGATGCCTGGAACAAGGAGATGCCCATGCCCCTGTCCTCCCCACATAGGGCCTATCTGGGGTGCTGGCCCAGGGCCAGCTCCCTGGTATGCCGGTGCTGTGCTCTGAGCATGCCCATGCTGTGCGTGTCATGGGCAGTGTGTGAGAAGCTATTTGAGCAGGCCAAGGAATGCTTGACCCACTATGCCCTGCTGCTACTGATTGCCATGGTGTCCTAGGTGCACCTGGTATAGGACCCTGAGCTATGATGACATAGGGGACAGGCCTAGACTACTCTGCAACCTCTGCTGCTGCCTGGAGGGCTACCTGTGGTTGTGCTACATGTCCCTGCCCCCCACTGCCAAGGAGAACATCAATAAAGTTTGGCACTGTCTCCCCACTCCCTGTGTGCTGTGAGAGGGGGAGCCCAGGGCCAGGGGAGTGTAGGCAGGCCAGGCAGGGAGGGGAAGCAGGGGAAGAGGCTAGGGCCAGGGGCAGGAGCGGGGGTGGGGAGGGCCCTCCCCCCAGTGCAGGCCTTACCACATGGCTGGGGTGGTGTGACCAGTGCCTCTGCTCAGATCTGGTTGGCAGCGATGGCATCTGGCTCCAGCCAGTGTCCTCTGATGGAGGGATGCACCATGCAGGTGCCCAGCCAGGGCCCTGCCACAGGGGGGAGCTGGCACTGCTGATGGCCGGCAGTGTCATGCCTGGCCACATTTTGTGGCTGACCCTGGGGCTGCAGAACTGGTGAGGTAGGCCCTGGACAGGGCTCCCCGAGCTGCTGGCAGAAGCTGCAGCTGGGGAGCTTCAGCCCTGCTCAAGCTGGTGCTGCACTTCTGCCTTGCCCCACAGTGCTATGAGATTACCAGTTTCCTCCTTGGTCCAGTTGAAGGCCTGGATGGAGGGCATGAGCGTGGGTACATGGTACTGTGAGGCCTGGGTAGCTGCCTGCAGCACCCAGTGCAGGGCCATGGCCTAGGACTGACAGCTGCATGGCAGTGGCAATGCCCCACAGCACTTGCAGGTGCAGGGCAGGCTGCTGGGGGTGTGTTGCAGGGAGGTGGCACTGGTCCTGCTGTCCAGAGGCTGCCTGTAGGTGTACCTGGGGACTGGCAGGGCTGGTCAGAGGCTCACCCTGCAGCACCCTGCTTGCCTGGATGGCACTGTCCTGGCAGCCACTCAGCAGTGTGGTGCCAGGCAGCAGTGCTGGGGTGCTGGCAGGCAGGCACAGCTATGATGTTACTTGCCCAGGGGGACACAGGGGCCTGCAGTGCCCTCAGGCTCCCTGCCTGTGTGCTCCAGGGCTCAAAATGTCTGCAGGCTTTTAAAGCCTGCAGACAGGGGCTGCCATAGAGGCAGCCCAGCCCTGTGTCAGGAGAGGCTGCTAGCCTCCAGCCCTGGGGCTAGTGGCTGGGCAGTCCTGGGTCGTGTGTACACATGCACTACTGTGCAGTAACTAATCCTGCTTAAATTTGTTACTTGCATTTACATATAGCAAATTTAAGTGGGATTAAAGGTTTTTATTGCACAGTAAACACACACATATGTAAACGTGCGTGCTTACTGTGCAGTAAACTGCACAAATGTTCACTACCACATCTCATGTAGATGTACCCCTGGGGATGTAAATTGTTTCCTGATTCCTGGACAATCATTTAACTTGAACAATAGGTAGAGATTTTCCAAGACACAAAGGACAACTGTACAAACTTGGTTCCATTTGTGTCTAGTACAATGAGACCAAATTTGGGTTTTGCTTATAGGTCCAACCAAAAAACAAGTTATTTTTAATAACAAATGTATGCCATGGAAAAATCTCCATAGACAAGCACATGATTTAATTGTAACTGTTGTACAGTTTTAAGACTATACTGTGGATTTCAGTAAAGCATTTTGTGACATGTTTATGATCAATACTATACAGAGTTTATTGTTTATCCAGAATCTTTATAAAACAGATTTTACTTGAGAGATTTGATATTTTTTATGACAAAATCACTATAAAATCATTGGAATTATGGGATTCTCTTTAAAAGAGCTAGAGGGTCAGAGCCTGCAGCTTTTACACATACAAAACTCGCACAGAAGTTGCCAGCCACAACTGAATATTCTTTGTTGCCTCCCCAAAATGCCCCCAATATTTTTTTTTTTTGCAGTTACAGATTTTGGGC